TATATTTCACCAACAAATTAAAAAAAAAAAAAATTACCGATCCCACTTAGCACGGTTAGAAGGAATCAAAATCCCAATTTGGTTTCTCTGAACTCTCCAGAAATTGAATTTCGAGACGAGAAAGCAAAGAGAGACATAAAATCGAACAAATGCGAGGCGCAGCCGTCTCCGAGTACAATTATAACGCCATCTAAATAAATTCCACACGGTAGCCTGGTCGATGGTATCGGTTCCTATTCGAGGCCCATAATCAACGGCGCCGAAAAAAGGTTCGCGGTGCGATCCTATCGGCGTGTCTGTTGCTTTAAAGAGACATCACGGAATCCTTGTGGCTGGTGTCGTCGAACAATCCCGAGGAGATTTCTAGCGGCGATCGTAGAGACGAGAGTAAAAGAGAAGCCGATCGGTAGTTAAGGGCGTTCGTATACCGAAACGATCGAATTCTTTAACGAACGGGACACATCGTTGCTCGATCCGCGAGAGATTGTCCGGCCAGTTTGCTCGTGAAGCCTCGTAAATACTCGGTCCGGCCCACTGAGGACCCTTGTTTGGCCTATCGGCTTCCAAAAGGGCTAAACACCTCGTTAAGTCCCGCAAAGCGAAACCTGTCCGCCAGGGATGGCTGGCCCCCATTAACATCGTACGCTTAATTCGAGAAATCGGCTGACGATCGCGACAATCTGGAAACCGGTTGTCCCACCATCAAACCCGGGACCTTTTTCTAATACCCTGGCTCCTTGAACGGAAAGCACCAGTCAATTCAGATTATGAAAAACTTTGAATGGTAACACGTTGACTCCCATAAGCATCACTGATGACCGATATGTCTCAAATGAGTAATTAATCGTTTCACAATTATTATAGTATCACTTATAATATATAATTCGGGAAGCACTTGAATTTAACCCTTTCAGGACGGGGTATTTTTCAACTTGCACAGAGTATTATTAATTTAAAATAAAGGAAGTAATATTTTTATCCTTCAAAGCAAATATTATAAATCTTTGTATGGAATTATAAATTACTATCCGCAAAGGGTTAATTTTCCCAGAAATCACATTTTATATCGCACAAGTAACAAGTAACCAAGCAGACTGTACAAGAAGTCTTCTGCTTAACTACTTGAACCACCACCACCACCACCATCGATCTTCGCGTATTTTCGTCAAACGACTCGTATAAAGGAGGACGATACGCGTATCGCGCTATTTCAATTGTTCTACATCGAGGAGAATAAGATCTGGCCCGGCTCGTTCGCCAAGTCGTGATTCAGCGTGTCGAGAAGCCGAGCGGCGGCGACACGCGTTTGTACACGTGCTACTCGGCGTCGCGTCGATGGTATTCCAGTTAATCAACAAGTGCCGTGGGTCTAGTTGCACCGATGCACCCAGGGAACGGCTGGATTCCAATAAACCGGTCAAAGCGGACCCAAGGGTTGCCTCGCGAAAAAACCATCCGAGAGAACTTGTTTTCTTATCGGAAATTCGATGTCGACGCGAGCGCGTAGCGCGCTTCAGTGAGCGTCGCGTGCTGCCCGATGCCTCCTGTCAAATCTGACCAACTTTGGACAATTAATGAGAAGGACCGCTATCAAAATCGAAGAAGATTTGAAATTTTCGAACCGCTGTGTATGTAGATGATCCTCCCATCCATCGAGGCAATTATCGAGCAGCGTACACCCGCCCCGAGCAAGGTGTAAATTAAAAAGCTTGGTATTTATCAACACCGTATCTCTTGCGATCAATAAACTCGATCGATAGGCTATTTGACGAGTTAATTATTGCGCGGATCGGAAGTGGCCGGAGGAAACGAACGTCCTACGAATCGATATGAAAATATTTTTAATTAACCACCTCGGCGAAAGCGTTTTCGTGAAAGTTACGAAAAATTAGCCGTATTTTTCTTTCCAATTAATTTTGCTACCGATACGCCGCCGTGGGGCTCGTTTCACCTCGTTGTCGCCTTTATCGATCACGCTGTTGTAACGCAACCCTGTGCATGTGTAAACGAACCACTTTGTCTCGCGGGGTTCGTTAAAAATCGTTGATAATGAATGTTGCGTGTGACTCGCACACGCGTGTCACTCCTACGCGCCGCGAGGATTATCAGATTCAGTGCGCGAAAAAAAATGCATTTCACAAGTTTCTCTCGGGCAATATGGAGCTCCGGTATGTTTTATTCATGGGCGTCGATGGTAAAAACAACGCGGCTAGTTGACGATTTCAAACGTTCGTGCGAAGATATACATTTCGCTCGTGCAAATTGAGCCGTTTGCTGAAATAGGTGAAGAAAAATCATAGGCGTTATACATTTCATCTGTCAACCACCCATGATAATCAAACGGCAGCTAGAATCGTTAGCGATATCGTTCTCTGCAAAAGAGAGGCCGAGAAATGGCTGGAAAAGTAAGAAGAAGAAGAAGAAGAGGAGGAGTAGAAGATCGCGCGAGGATCAGAGCGGATTGCGCGGGTCGTCCTCGTGCTGGTCGCGCGTCATGGCGTGTGCTCGCTTCTTTTTTCCCCCGTGTTCTCCGTGAAGGGACGAGGGCAGAGTAGTAGGAGCCTTAGCAGAAGCGGCAGCATCGAGATGCCCATTCTCCTTTCGTGCAGGTGTGCACGAAAAGGTCCTCTCCCGCGCGCCGACACCAACGAAGGGTCTCCCTGCGCCACTCGACTGAGCATACACAGATAGAGGGGAACGCGTGGAGGGAACCTGTGCCGGGCCCAACAGGCCCCCGATCTGTGGGAACTGTTCGGCCCGCGAGCTTCCCACGATACGCTCCGGCTGCTGGCTGGCTGCGCGGGGTTCACTGTTTGCCTCTCCCTCTGCTCCGCGCAGCTCCCCTCGCCATGTGGTCAACACCCTTCTCCCGTAAAGAAGTCCCCGGAGTGGTCGGACGGGGCATCGCGTGGGACGAACGGGTGGGGAGGACCCGTGGAAGATATAAGTAGCCGGTCGGTCCCCACCAGGGACTCAGAACCGTCGCAAACACGGTAGCGCAAGCAGTCTCGGCACTCCGAGTCCTAACTGCCTAAACGCACGCATACTATTCACGCAATCGGGCTTGATATACGGTGACCTAAGTGCCTAAGTGAGAAGGATAAATCATCCCTGATATCACGATATGGCACCGCAAACCAGTTACACACCTGTCGGTGGTATGGAGTACGAAGAGCCAGTGTCGAGGACATACCAGTACAGGAAGGTAATGAAACCGATGCTGGAGAGGAAGAGGCGAGCGAGGATCAATCGTTGCCTGGACGAGTTGAAGGACCTTATGGTGACGGCTTTGCAAGCCGAAGGTGAGAACGTTGCTAAATTGGAGAAGGCTGATATACTGGAGCTGACCGTTCGTCATCTCCATACACTCAGAGCTGCCAGGAGACTCACCCTGACGCCGGAGAACAGTTACGCGGATAGATTCAGAGATGGTTTCACCCAGTGCGCACAGGAAGTGTCCTCGTTCCTCTCGACCCCTGTCGCCGCTGCCGTTCATCCGGCTGCCGGTGCACAGTTGATGAGACACCTCGGTGGATGTTTGAGAAGACTCGAAGGACCAGCCGCCAGTCCTGTCGGAAGTACCAACAGTTCTTCCAATACTGTGAATCCTGTCAACAAGGTGGTCCCTGTCAGTCCCGCCACCAGTGTCATGGTCAACGTACCGCAAAACGTTTACACGCCACCCCAGAGTCCTGTCAGTGTGGCCAGCTCTTCCGGGGAGTCCACGGAGTCGTCTAACGCTGTCTGGAGACCCTGGTGATCGGATGAAGATGAAGTTTTTGTTTAAACATTGAAATTTTTCAATTGGACTTATTATCCCTTCCCTGGTGATATGTAACTCTGATCGACGACGGAGTAGATTTCCGAATCGGAGGGAAAACGACGAATCATTGTCTTCCATATGTTGAAAATTGTTTAACCTCGATGGTTTAGTCGAGAGAGATGAAAGTTTTTTTTTTTGTAATTATCAGAGAAGCTCTCTATTCTTCTTTTCACTTTAATATGTAAATAATATAGGTGACGAAGCTTTAAGTGACTGTCTGTGATAGGGTTCAATTCTGTACCTGAGATAACTATGTTCTCATAATGTAAAATGATTATTATTATATAGATTATAATTTGTTATGTTTAAGAGACAGTTTTTCATTTTTTTTTTTTTTTTAGACGTAACGAAAAATTCGGTGTTTTTTGTTACAACCGATCGCACGTCAAGCGATATTCAATAAACAGATTGTTTTAATTCTATTTGGTCGAATTTGGCGATTTGGTATCCTACAATGTTTATCTCTTTTCCCTCGTTTCCTAGTCATTCCTCTCATTAATAACCTGTTTAATATTATTGTTCTTATTATCTAGACTCATTAGCAAGTAGTTTACATATTTAATATGATCAAGGTTCAAAAAACAATTTCCGCTTGCATCTGGTTTTTTTTATTTCCTTGAAATTTCTCAAGTAAGATTCATTATTCATTGTTCTTTTCTTAGCTTTAGATTCCTTCATTTTCTGAAATTCATTAGAGTCTTGTAATAGTCATATGCAGTAGATTATTAATTAATTGGCACACTTAATTTTTTTGCAATTAGGTATAACTTCTGTTTATTAAAATACAATACTATATTATACATTTTATGATAATAAATATTTAACTCTTTCAATTTAGAAAATCTAAAAAATAATAAAATATACAAACTGCAAACACAGTCTAAATTTACATTAATTATATTTATGAAAAAGTAAACAAATTTCATTTTTCATTAACCTGAAATGCTTCATTAACCCGAAGCTCTCTATCAAAGTAAATTCACCAGATAACTTTAATTTACACCTTAAATCGTTGTTCGTTCGCACCATAAATAATCGATCGCCCGTTGTATGGAGATCGTCCGATTAAAAACTGTAATAACGCGCGCAGATGTTTTCACTGTTGGAAAAGATCGGCGTCGAATTTGCAAGCAATCATGAGAGGTTTGTTCGTTAACGACGATCGATCAAAAGTCTCTTCTTTTTCTTCCTTCAAGCTTTCCAGCAACAACGTTGCTGTTTTTACGTAAATGGAACGTAGCCGGTACGTGCCACGGAAGTCGACGCGACACGCTCTTTTTCTACCCCCTTAGGTCGCTTTTTATCACCGTCACTGTTCACGATCGATCATTTAAATTGATCCCGATCATACCGAGAACGTTAATTCCTCTGATTCGATGTTTCTAAGAAATTTTGTTACCTAAGTGAAATCTGGTCTTTATATAAATCCCTTTGCAATTTTTTGAGGATGGGGTAGATGATGATTTATAATATACAGGGTGAATCTCAAAAAGTAGGATACTTAGATACCTTTTTCATTTGTGGAAATATTAGAAATGTTGATTCACAAAAATGATTTTGTAGGTTGAGGTTCTTAAAAAATTTCAAAGTCAACTTTATTTTTTACTATCAGTCCATATATTAATAATTCAAGCTACCAGGGTTTTAATATTTCTTACAAATGTCCATTTTTCATCTGACAATTATCTGTCTATTTAATAGATGCAATTTGTTCATTGAACAAATTGTACATAAAATGATTGATTTCTGTTGCAGGTAGCGTGACTCCGATCACAGAATGCTGACAGCTGCCGTTTACAGAATTTAAATAGGTATGTCACGGGAAATATTATAAATAATTATGCTATGTAATTTTTATACTCGAGTTGTTCACCGAAGAATGAATTTTCCATTAATTTATCATAATCGTTGATAAACAAATTGAAAGAGGGTGCAGGTAAAATCAGAATGTAGCCTAAAAGTTTCGATATAATTCACGGTTCGATCCGTCGACAGTCGAATGGACACCTATAGATTGGCTTAACCTAATCGCATGAACGATGCGAGGTGACAAAAGTGAGCTAATCATCGTAAATCCGTCGCCCATTAAACCGTCCCGTAGGATTCGCGAGGCATCAGTCGCATTAAATATCAAATTTAATCGCAGATGTTACAGAGTGTCCGGGATGGACTTAATCGCGTACAATCATCGCGAGATCGCGAGCATCTCGAGCAGCGTCGACGACGAGGACGACGAGGTGGAGAAAATCCTTCCCTACATCGACATAGATCGCCACCTCTTAACGATCGATCAATTGGTATCGGCCGGTGAGAAAAGATGCAAGATGCCGTTCAGGAGAAGCCTATTCTCGAACGTGCCGCCGTACATCATCTTTCAGTCGTTCGAGAGCAAGGGACCAATAATGCCGTACGAAGTAACCAGACACCTGAAATGGCGTCTGAGCACGATCACACCATTAATTGTACGTCGTACCTTGGTCAACTCAGGTTATCGGCTGATGAAGAAGTGCCAGGAGTGGGGCGGGACTTGGGGCAAGTACATGAAGTCGGTGTGCTTCAAGGAGCTGAAGGAAACACAGAAGATCAATCATTTCCCGGGCGCCTTCCAGATCGGCCGCAAGGACAAGCTGTGGCGTAACCTAAGCAGGATGATGTTGAAGCACGAGATCAGAGAGTTCGATTTCGTTCCGATGACCTACGTGCTGCCGCAGGATCTCTACTACTTTAAACAAGTTTGGAAGAAGTCGGGCCACAAAGAGAAGTGGATCCTTAAGCCACCAGCCTCTGCCAGGGGCAGCGGGATCAAGGTGGTGCACCGTTGGTCCCAGATACCAAAGAAACGCGCCGTGGTCGTTCAAAGATACCTGTCCAGACCCAGACTGATCAGCGGCGCGAAGTTTGACCTTCGTCTCTACGTCTTGGTCACCAGTTTCAATCCGTTGAAGGTGTACATCTATCCCGACGGTCTGGTCCGATTCGCCTCGGTCAAGTACAACGACGATATCAACTACCTCAGCGACCGGTTCATGCATCTGACCAACTACAGCATAAACAAGACTAATTCCACCTACACCAGCAACGACTGCGTCGACTCCTGTTCGGGTCACAAGTGGTCGCTTAAGACACTCTGGTCCTATCTCGAAAGGGAACACGTGAACGTGTCGAATCTGTGGGCCTCGATGAAGGACATCGTTGTGAAAACCATCATAGCTGGCGAATCGTCCATCAGTAATTTAACCACTGCCAACGTGATGTCGAGATACTGTTGCTACGAGCTCTTCGGGTTTGATATCCTTTTAGACGAGGATCTGAAGCCTTGGCTACTGGAGGTGAACATCTCGCCCTCGTTGCAGACCTCATCGCCCTTGGACACCGCTATCAAGGGACCGTTGATCAGGAATGTGTTCAATATAGCTAGCTTCCAACTGCCAAACACACTGTCCGCTGAGGACACTGATAAGGTAGCCAAGAACTATCAGTTGGACAGGGTGTGCCACGACTGCAGGCTGTACAGGACTGGTCTCAGTCTTCAGGAATGGGACAAACAGTCGTCCTATGTTAATCTTAGGGATAGGGATGAGTATCTGGAGGACATCATCGAGGATCTCACTCCTGATGATGTTCGACAGTTAATCATTTATGAAGACGAACTGACACAGCTTGATAGGTTCGAGAAAATCTTTCCTACGTCCAGTAGCCACAAGTACCTGCAGTACTTTGATATTCCAAGGTACTATAATATGCTGTTCGATGCGTGGGAGATGAAGTACGGTGATAATAGGGAGAAAGGGATATCTAGGTTGCAGGAACTCTGTGAAAGCAAGTATCATTTGGAGCCTTAGGTCTGGTCTTCAGTTTCAGGACCTCTGTTCAGAGACCTAACGATCAAAGTGTGAAGCCTCTTTTTTTTTTTTTTCTTTTGTATACAATTGTACACCCAACCCCGTCGTATATAAAGTATTGTTAGGAACGTTCTGCTGCGTCAAGGTTGTGAAAAACGCAATTTTATTGTATCGAATCTTTTGGTTTAATAAATGATTTTACAATGATCATTACAGAGTCTACGTTTTGATCAGTTTGCTAAATGTTTTTGTCGATCGAAAAAGAAATTATAGGTTTGTAGTAGATTGGAATCTTTGATTTTTGCTATGGATATTTATTCATTTATTTCGTAATTTCATTTTCTTTTGCTAAATTGTCGATTTGTTCATTTTGAGAATCGTTCCTGACAATTTGTGCGACAGTGATCATATCGCGAAATAAAAATACGATTAAAAGACAGATTAGGATGATAGTGTTTATTGAACCTTGTTGTTGCAAAGATTTTATAAACACTTTAGCGAGTTACTGTTTAAGGAAATAGATATATGAAACTAGTTGATAATTATTGTTCCTGTAGGTTTGAAATGAAAGTAATAATTATTGTTACTAATCAACTAATCGTTGAGCGAAATGCCTTATGTACAACATAAATTGATAAATTTAAGGACTGGAGCTAAGGATAAGAAATGTATCGTTTGGTTATTTATCAAAAACTGTAATCCAAAATGCAACATCTCGTTTTGTTGCTAGTGTGTAACGTTTATTATAAAAAAAATTTGCTATATAAAGCGATTTTCTAACTGTTTTCAACAGTGTATCTACATTTTCTTCAACCCCTGAAAAGTGAAATAAAGAAGCTGCGGAAGAATTACTGAATTATTTTAACCTGGAAGAAAATAAGCGAAGGGAAAAGAAATAAACGACACTGAGAAAATTTTGAAATTTGCAGAATTCATGAAAGAAGAGTGATAATTAAAATAATAACAAACTCACCTAATTGGAATATAAGCTCTCGTCTGAAATAAAGATCCAATTCAGAATAAGTCTTCTCACTTGAAATCAGCTTTAGACAAAATGTCACCACCCTGAAGAACCCTCCAAAACCGACAACTTCTGGTCGCTTTAAACAGAACCACAGACTACTTCACTATTCATTCACCTTTTAACCTATCTCCCATTTTTCGGCCAAACACTTCAAATTCCAAGTACAATTCTTCAACAATGACAAACCTCCGATTCACCAGCAACAACCCAAAACCATCCCCAAAAAGCAGCATGGATTTCCCAACGAAACAAGACGCCAGCATTGGTACCTGTTCCAGCAAATTGTCATTGTACGATCAACCTGAAAACGACGAATTGGAAGAGTACATCGAGTTCATGGAACATTTAATGACGATCAGAGTAAAGCCGTGTGAATCAATAAAACCACGAATCATTATCGATCCACCGGACGACGGGGACAAAAAGATGAAGCAACCGATGCGTAAGAGCCTGTTCGCCCACGTTCCGCCGTTCATTATTTTCAAGAACCAGAAGAACAGCTCGAAATTGCCAGCAGAGATCACCAGGCACTTGTTATGGTGGCGGCCAGGTAATTACACCCCACGTATCATCGTGTCGACGGTGCTGAAATCGGGATTCAGAACGAGCAACAAGTCGACGAGTAATTGGTGCGGCACCTGGTGTAGCAATCACGCTTATTCCAAACTGAAAAGTACCAATGTGTTCTCCAAAGTGAGCTGTTTCCCTAGCTGCATACAATTGGGTGACAAGATATCGTTGTGGACGAATTTTCGAAAGATGAGGAGGAAGTTTGGTAGCAAGAATTTTGATTATATCCCTTTGACCTTCGTTCTACCGGAAGAGAGGAACGGTTTGAGGAAGTTTATGAGAAGGAACGATGGCGTTTGGATCGTTAAGCCACCGGCAGCATGCGCTGGACACGGGATCAAGGTGGTAACCCGGTTGCAGGAGATTCCTGATCGTAAATCTCTTGTTGCTCAACGTTATATCACCAGGTAGAAGATTCGTATAATTGGATGAGTAATTTTTTTTTGAAGTGGTGTAAGTCCTAAAGTTCCAAAATTCCAAAGTTCTCAAATTTTACCTCTCTAAACTTTCAAAAATTCCAAAATTCTATATTTGTAAAATTCCAAAATTCTAAAATTTTGCGTTTCCCAAGTTTCAAGGTTTCAAAATTCCAAAACTCGTAAAATTTTAGAATTTTTGAAATTTTTAGAGTTCTGGAATTTTGGAACCTTAGAATTTGGGAAACGTAGAATTTTAGAATTTTGAAAGTTTAGAGACGTAAAATTTTAGAACTTTGGAAATTTTTAGTTCCCAAAATTCTATAGTTCTACGTTTCCCAAAGTTCAAAAATTCCAAAATTGCAAAATAAACTACATTCCTCCTTTCCGATTCCAGACCCCACCTCCTGGATGGTATCAAATTCGACATCCGCCTGTACGTCTTACTAACCAGCATCGACCCCCTACGAATCTACCTGTACAAAGAAGGTCTGGTTAGACTAGCAACGGTGAAATACATCCACGACGTGCGACATCTAACCAATAAATTCATGCACCTTACAAACACGAGTGTAAATAAATTCAGTCCCAATTTTCAACCCAACGATAGCCCAGACGAGTGCAAAGGTAACATGTGGTCCTTGAAATCCTTATGGAACTACCTGTCCACTATGGAAGGTGTGAACATCCTGGAACTGTGGAACAAAATCAAGGACTTAACAATCAAAACCATGATATCAGCCGAGGCTGCTTTGGTCAATGCCTCGAAGAGGACGACACTGTCATCCTACAATTTCTATCAGCTTTTTGGCTTCGACGTTCTTCTGGACGGACAGTACAGACCGTGGCTCCTAGAAGTAAACGATTATCCTTCCATGGAGCCAGATACTCCTCTCTGTAAATTGGTAAAAGGACAGTTAGCCAAGGACTATTTGAATCTGGTCGGTTTTCACGTGCCTGATCTGCTGAATGGTAAGGAGTTGAAGATCCTCAGGATGATCTGCAAGCAAAATGGTGTCTGCTATGATCGACAGTTGTACTCTAATTTGGTGTCGTGGAAGGACAGACGGAAACAGTACATTCATGAGAAGATGAATAACAGAAAGACGTACTTGAAGACGATATTGAAACGCCTCACCCCGGATGACGTTAGGGTGCTGATAAGACACGAGGATGAGATCACTCAGACAGGTGGTTTCGAGAAGATCTTTCCTACCAGCGAGACCTATAGGTATTTAGGATTTTTCGAAAAGGTAAGGTATTATAATTTATTACTAGATGCATGGGAAAAGGAATACGGGCAGAATAGATCAGTAGGTATTCAGAAATTGAGGACACTTTGCAGGAGGAAGTATCATTTGTCTTAAAAACGAAACAGTAACATTGTTGTCACTAATAGTTCATAAGAAGTATAAAAAATTTTGACTACTGTGAATATTTCTATTTGTAACATAGGTGCTTGATTATAAATTTATAATATCCGAATAAAACGTTAATTACCATTTAATATAAAAAAAATATTTGAATGTATTGAAAGTTTAATTTAATAACTGAACTCATGAATCTTATGAATAAAAAGTCTTTGTTAAAAATATGAGAAAGTAGAAAATATTATTTGAATATTATATAATATACAGGGTGTTCGAGTAAGGATGACATTCTACGAGGGGGTGGTAGCGTGGGTGATTCTGAACAACTTTTTCAGGCTGTTGTCTGATATGGGTCCCATGCATATTAGGTTAGGTTAAGTTATATGTGATTGAAACAATTTTTAGTTGAGTGTTTGATATATTACATTGATGATTTTATAAGACAAATATTATATTTGCTTACATAATACACAAAAATTTTCTTTGAAAATGTATTTCAATCACATATAACCTAACCTAACCTAACCTAACCTAATATGCATGGGACTTATATCAGACAACATCCCTTTTTCATATACCAAAATGCTTGTTGAGGCTTAGTTTTTGAATTATTAATGAAAACCCCGCGCGCACAGTGCGCATGCTCAAGAGTGTCGGCTTCGAACCGTCGCGCAGCCGAGTTAGTTTGTTCGCGACCGCGGTCGAGTGCGCTTATCGTAGCCGACACTCCCGTAACTGAGCCCGGGCTCTACGCGTTTTCTAATTGGACAGTGCTTTTCATTAATAATTTAAAGACTATACCTCGACAAGTGTTTTGGTGAGGGGAAAGGTTGTTCGAATTCACCCTAGCTGCCATCCTCTGGATGGATATCCACCCCTAACCGAACACCCTGGATACTATTTTCAACAAATAAAAGGTATTTCTCTATACGATTTTCTGTTAAACATATATCTGAAACGGTAACGAATAAGTAATAATAGAGTTAATTAGTAATAATAGATTAACGTGTATCGTTGAAATAAATGTATCTTTCTTATTTTGTGAAATATAATGTACATACAGATTTCGTATTATTCATGAGTTTCTATAGAATTCTTTAGATTATCAGTTATCATTATTGCCATTATTAGCTATTTGCTAATGAAACAAATAAATAGAATAGTTGATAGATGTGAGAAGTTGTGATCATTATTTTCTAATAACATGATAATTAGAAGTGAAATATTTCTGCAAAAGAGCTTGAATATTTATGAATTTATTAATAACTCATCAATTTAAAGTTTAGAATCTAATGAAAATAACTGTATAAACATTTCGTAAATACTCTTTGTAGAAAATGGTTAGATGTGGATTGCAACAAACAGTAGAGTTTCACATATCAAATGACCTACTTCGAAACATGTCAAATCAGACTCAATTTCAGGACATAAAAGTATCACAAAATACCACGTGTGGCATATCAATTTGAAGCTTAAAATGTAACAAAAATAACTACCTAAACGTTTCATAGATATTCGTAATAAAAATGATTTAATCCTTTTTTGAATATAATTGGAAGGAAAGCAGACCTTCGACGAATTGAACGGTTTCACGGCTATAAAAGCGGCGGGTTTAATAAATCCGTACTGACGATTTAATGTCTCTATTGTGATCGCGACGGGCGACAGTAGCGGCAAACTGAACTTGATTAGGTTAATACGAAAGGGGACCAGATTTCTTCGCTTCCGCCCTTTAAATTCAATTACCAGACCGCCGGTTTAAACATCGTGTATCAGTTTTGTCCGGAGGAAGTGCGATCCGTGATCAAACGAGGGAATCAATTCCAAAGTGTAATATCGTTTCAAGAATCTTTCATCAAATTTTGTATATTTCCATTAATTATTTGTCTTTTAAAGACCCATCATTTTTATAAACCTTTATTCTAAGCAATATTAATAAATTTCTATTCGAAATAATTTTTCTAAATTGTTCTGAAGCGATCTAAAGCGGTGTTATGATATTTATAATAAATTCCGTAGCAAGTTTATACACTGGTATGATTAAAAGAAAAGTAAACACGAGGGTACCGTGGCCTGTCAAATACGGGCAGGCAACAGTCGTTTGAAGACAATGGGCTCGCACAGTGCCAGGACAGTCAATGAATTGATATCGTTATTGTAACAACATAATAGACATATTTTCTTATTGAGATTGCAGCCCACTGTACGTGTAACATGCGCGCCGCCTTTATGAATGCATTCATTCATGCGTGTCGCGCGTATGTGTTACCCGACCAATACAAAAGCACACTGTGTAAGGCTAAGGACCCCGTCTTTCACTGGAAGATCGCTTCAAATTTTGACTGACTCAATTTATAATTACTCGGAACAAGAGACAGTATTAAATAAATACTATTATCAATTCTGTGAATTTTTTGAAAATTTCTAAAATTAAGCAAATCAATTTGATATAGTGAATTCGATTTAAATTCTTCTTTTCTTAGCCCACGTTAATCTTTCCCAATTTTAGTCGAGTAAAAAAGAAACCTTCCATTGTCACGGCTATAAAAATCCTTTTATCATAATTCTGAACGGATCCCCGAAATAATTTGCCGGATCCATTAGTTGGGCCGCCTTCTAATGCATCTACGATCGCGCTTTGTCACTTGTTCAAATTGACCGAAGGAGGTGTCATTAAATGAAAGTAGATTTCGTGGAAGCAGAGACAAAAGCAGAGTGACCAGTCTAATTCACCGTCGGAATTACATGTCGTTGGATGATAATAATAGACAAGATTTGGGTGAATAAAAAAGCAGATCCACGTGGCTTATCTCTATCGTGCTTCGAATTGAATTTTAAATTAAAGTGAAAGGTGGTCTAATTAGTCGAACAGGAAATAGAAAATTTTCTATTTCTAATAAGTGATCCTTTATTTTCATATGATTATCCTTAAATTTCTTAACATAATTCAAATTCGTTATATAAATTTTTCCTTTCTGCGCACGTCTACGATTCACCGTGTAATCATTTATCATGGTTTTGCTATACGGTAGACAGTATCATTGTAAAAACACGCGAGACAACTTTCTTACGTGTAATACAGACAGGATTATTGTCACCGGTCAAATTAACGCGTTTACGATCAATTACTTGAACGAACTTTGCCAGGGAAAGCGGTACATTTTTTTTTGTCGGCAAATGGCACACTTTGAAGCGAAATTTATGGTTCGCGAGAACGAGAATACAACATTAATCCCTTTCCACGGCGCGTGAAACGATTTTTAATGAAACCAGATGAGGGACGTAGATTACGGAGTGCAAAATGAAACGCTACCGATGGATTTTATTTAAGTTATAAAGAAACTCATTAAATGACCACCGTGTAATATAAAGTTGCGAAAAATTGTGAGTCAAAACGAATCGTAGAAACCGATTCATTGATCAATTAAGTTTTGAAAGTCTGCTTGTTCTTCCTTTTTTTAATATCAAATAAATTCAGTTAAATAATATTTATCTTATTTCCTCCGAATCAGAGATGCTGAATATTATTCATGAACTCTAGAAACGGTTTGTTTAAGAAATCTGATTTATCGTTTCTCATAGCTGTCCATTTAAAAACCCGTTTAAATTGAAAAATCTTCGAGTACGGGAAACAGTTTTTTTTATCCACTAATGAGAGATATTCATATTCATTAGTGGATTGCGTATGTTAATTCAGGTATGTCGTAGCAAGATGTAGAAAGCACGTGTGAAACGTGCAATATGTATAATTGAATGCGATCGAGTATTCATAATTGATACAATATACGGTGTGTAGTAAAAATGAATCAATCTATGGAATTCTATATGAGAGTGAGATTGGAATTTTCATAAAAATCCATCGGCTACATTAATTAGAAATTCTTTAATTTACCTAATTATAAATACTCCTGATAAATACTTGGAATTATAGATGAAACATATAATAAAATATTTTGAAAATTTTATGAAAATTCCATATGAAAATTACGTTAAAATTTTCATAGGAATCCACCCCCATAATAATTAGAAATTCCTTAATTTATCTAATTGGAAACACTGGTGATAGATAGTTGAAATATCAGAATACTGTGATTTGTTAAAAATAAAAATTCTACCTAGTACCAATTAAGGTGTTAATTAAGAAAGATTAGATAATACAAATTACTCCTCCTAATTTTGAGCTATAAAACGATAGTGCCTATTCCATTTGCTAGCAGATAGGCAAGGTGTTAAAATTCTCCAGCAGTATCGGTGATCAAGCTCAAGGTTGAAAGCTGAAAAGCACAGTAATTTGAATAGCATCGACTACCGTTTTTATTTCACGGTACCGTCGTAAAGTTTCCTCGCAGCCTTAAGACAACTGGCCATACGGTATTTGAGTATTCGTTCGCCTTTAAAGTGTACACTGTTTATGCACGCGTCGAAGTCAGCTGTAGATCGAGGTATCGTGATGCATTTCTCAATGGATTTTACGACCGCCAGCCTCGTAATATTTCTGCGCCAGATAGATCGGATAACGAGAATATTGATCCCCGCTGGATTTCTGTGAAGCCACGATACGCATCTAACAGAAGTCACTTTTGAACTGCAGCATTATTCAGCCAGGAAAAGGTGTGAGGAATCTTTATAAGGAACGTGGATTGAGTTCTAAAGAAATCAAGTTTATTTCATTTCAATAAAAAAAAATTACAGTATTTTTACAATATAATTAACCAGTCCCTTCTTAAAATAAAAAAAAAAAAAAAATGATAGAAGTTTTTAATTAGAAAGATTATCGAACAGTATTGATTGATCACCTGATCAATTAACACCTTCGATCCCAATTAGATAAATCCACTCACACCAAAAAGAGTAGGAATCTTTAAGTGAACGAAGTGCATTCCTAACAGGTAATTATCAGGCAATTACCATATGCCATTGACATTCGATAATTCCCCATTTCTTAGAAAGCCTCCCCCCTCCAAAATTCCAAGGGTGATAAATTATCAAGCACCCCTTATAATCAAATATCACAGCACAGTGATAATATTCCATTTCTGGTACCACTTCCCATTTTACAATAACAAAAATAAAGCAAACATCCAAGAAGGTCATTCAAAAGAGTTCAAGTCAGAAAGTCGGCGCGGAATTCGGCGGCGTGCGGGGGCGTTCTGTGGGCCGGGTAACGACTTAATAAACCGTTGGTTCGGCCGATGGGTTGGGTGTGGGCGCGCGGTTCCGGTGCTGGATGGAGGGAGGCGGTAAGGCACGTGTACAACGCGCGGTTGCGGCCGCGGCTGCGGCTGCGGGGAGCGAAGGGACGGCAGGCCGGTAGTCAGGTGCGTCGCGTGCCCCCTACTCTTGGCACGCAGTTAGCTCGTGTTTTGTTTTGAGAAGGCTTAACGGCGTCCGTTCCCACGCTTCCGCGCGCCGCCACGGCCGACGATTTCGAATTCGTTGCGCGCCACAGATTTCGCGCTCGAACGTGCCCCATGATGTATTCTCGCGGTCGCGGTCCCGACCATCACCGTCGCCGACCACCATTCCACCATTTTCCATCCTATCTCTGGAAATTACCCTCGCTTCGTGGACGATTTGAAAGTTTCATCGCTTTCGAGATCACACACTGTGATTGCGTGGTTTACTGTGATGGTGCTCATTCTCTTGGGTCATTTTATATTAAGGCATGGGGGATGTTTTAGGGTGGGCTGGTACTTTGGTATTGTCGTTTAATTTTGAAATTTTATAGCCATTCATATACAAAAGGATGATAGGCAGAGAATGGCCCAATTAACAGCTTAATTAAATAATAGTAATTAGAATGCAACTTTTTGACGAGATTTTTGATAGGTCGTGTGTGTACTCATTTTAATCGTCAAATCACGAGCAATACAAAAATGGTACAATATTTTTGGAACAATCATTTTTCATGAAGATTTAATCAATAATCGTATCCTGTGAGAAAGTATGCTTACGTCATTGAATTCCAGATGGAGAAATCTGCAAGGAAGGCAACTGATAATTTGTGCCATTTATATAGCCATTTTAATCAGCCCTTAATCTTTAATTTGATATAACATAAGTGTTATTTTGCGATACTTTTCTGTCATCAAATTCTCCGAGAAACTTTTATTTTTTATTTTCTGTAACTTATGAAAATATTCAATCGTCAGAAATTATGATGTAATCAAAATTTGTAGCTTACGTAGAATATCGAAAGATTGATTCGGTAGAGTTGGAAATGGCAAGGTGATAACTTTTGCAGGAGTCTGTACACGAGATTCGCGCGTGCACGCTGCGCTCGTGCGACATGGCACGCTCTCCCCCATAACTGCACACCGCGTTCTTCTACATACAGAGTGGGCCATTGTTTCAGCATTACAATAATCTTGCTCCCGACTTCTTGCCTCTTATTTCCCTTTCTCGTTTTTCTCTTTTGTTCTCAGCTTTCTTGCTCGTGTACCTTACTTCCCGCCTCTTGTATACCATTCCCAACGCTATGCACCCTTCTTATTGCCTCATATTCTTGATTTTTTTTTAATACAAGTACTTTGCATCGTTGATTATATTTCTTATTCAAAGTTAAAATTTTAATTAATTAGACACTCGAATTTTCAAGCGAATAAATTTCTCATGTATCAAAAGGGGTAATTTGAGATTGAAGAAATTTTGATTCGTTCAATTTTCAAGTTTATTATTTGAAATATTTTTCTGATGATTACAATAGCGTTTCGAAGAAATTGGTGGCTACTTCGAATCGCAATTGACTTCCCACATACTTTCACGCGGCGTACTCGTTCATAAACCATCTCTCGTTTTCTCGGCTGGGACGGTGAATATTGTCACGCACAATATTCCCATGTATGTACATATGTATATGTGGCACAGCATTCTCTCGCTGAGGCAGTATAGCGGCGCGTGCATACGGCACGCGTGCTCCCTGGAAATCGACGGTAAACCGGATGTTCCATCAACTGCCATTAAAGCAGCATAACTTTCTGGTCGTTCTTGTAATCATCTTTGTGGAAATCTTACCGAAAATCTTTCGATACTCATCGTTTCCTCATTATTATCCCTCTTAGCTTTCCTTTTCTCTTTGATGGTTTTAATCGTGTTCGTTTCAATTAACCACCAGTCATTTTGTGTTCAGAATATTATCGGGGGAGTTACATAGTTATTTTCGTGAGATTTTAAGCTTTAATTTGATGTATCGCAAGTGCCATTTTGTAATACTTTTATGTCATGAACTTGTCTTACAATGAAACATTTCATCTATTGCAACATTGTTCGTTGCGATCCACGACCACTCATCTTGTGTTAAAAATATTAACGAGGCATTTATATAGCCATTTTCAGCAAACTTTATGCTTTAATTTAATATATCACAAGTGCTATTTTGTCATATTTTTATTTCATCAAATCTGGTCAGATATTTATCGTTTCAAAATCAGCCATTTAGTATGGAACAACGTAATAGTAAAGGTCTAAGGGGACATTAAAAGTAGCCCCATAACTACACACGTGTGCATCCCGAGAGTTAGAAAATTCCTACAGTTTCTCGGTTCCCACGAGCGGGGTGCGTCAGGTGGCTAGCGTGGGGTGCGTGCATCCTCCTTCCTTCTTCACCCCTCGAAATAGATGTAAACCTCATCGTAAACCCCCTGGCGCCGTCCCAATACTATTTTCAACACGCAGCTTCCATGTGTGCTCGTGTACGTACAAGTCCTATGGGATTCTTTTACAAGTGATTCGGAAACGAGATTATCCTGGTCGACCCAGTGCGACCCGTCACGTTGTTGGGGGTGAGGAATTTTTCTGTTGGACAAAATAGTTGGTAGAGGGTGAGAGTTGGAAAAATTATAGAGAAGATTTGAAAGAATGATAAATTGGATAAATTGGGAATTATGGCATCTGAATTAATAAGACAATTTTTTATTGTATAAGAATTAAAATATTTATTAATTATGCAAAATTATATTATTTTTACAATATCGTTAGATTTTTCTTATGGTAGAAAATGTTTGCACTTAATAAGGAAGAAGATCACTAAAATGGTTTTATTTCGTCTGTACATTTCGGTCGTCGCAGACACGTTTTTATCAAAGAATCGTGTGGATACACTGTGGGGGATCGTTCCCATGAAACCAACAATTTAGCATTCAAAGAAATTCGACTGTGAGCTTACGTCGTTTTATTCCTTTATTCTTTTTCCTCCAAATGACGTCATTGACCCGCTTTTTTAGCCTTTCAAAAGGTTGTCTCGCGTTTCGTGTTACAGGGATAAGTGAAAGGGTTGAAGGTAATCTTTCCAATTCCGCGCTCTGATATTTTTTAACCATTTTTGGAAAATCTTTTCAATACATTTGTGTATAAATAATTTTATAAAATATTGAAAATTCAAACATCAAACATCCCCATATGAACAATCTTTCACCCCTTTCATAAAAGAGTAAAGAATATAATATAATACGTTTCTAATTCTAATTTAATTCTCTACTTTATATTATTTTAATTTTCTAAATTTTACACTGCCCCTTTGAAAATTATCCTTCTAATACATGAAACTCTTTTATTTATAAATTATACATTTAACTTTAGATTAATGTACTTGTTCGAATCACGATTGACCCAGACTCCACTGTTAAAGGGTTGAATAATAGAATATAATTAATTATCTTTCATAGCCCGAATACTTGTTCCAAATAGAATGATAATTTATTATATAAAAATTGCATTATATCAGGGGTAAATAACTGTACACGTTACCCCATCAGATAAAATTTCCCAAACGACAACGATCATCCCCCCCAACCACCCCTTTTTTAAATAGCCTCGATTCGACTGGGATTCTCCATAAAGAAAAAGTAGAAATTGTGGCGGGTACACAGAGAAGGTGGAGTATAAAAAATGAAAAGAAAAAAGAATAAGGGATAGGGTCGGATGGCAGAGGCACGAGATCCTTCCCACGTCGACGAAACGTGCTGAAAGCGTGCTACTCGCGTGGCCGTTAGAGCATCACGTCGAAGGAGGAGGGGTCTTTGGTGCATCGAGCCGGAATCTTTCTCACGGACGAGAAGGACGTCAGGTGCAGGACCTCCTTCAGGAAGTACAACGGTTCCTTACAAGGATTCGCGACTTCTGCCTTCCCACGCTCCTCCAGTTGTAACGGCCAGATTCGACTCTCTGTTCCCCTACTTTGTGGTCCCGTCACCTTGTGTCTGGTGGTTCCCTTTTTTTTTTTTTCATTTTCCTTTTTTATTCGAGCCTCGATGATTAACGGTCCTGGACACCGCTGGTGTGAAGCGAGGATTATCGTAAGGTTTCTCTGGACCATCAAAGTAATCAATAAATACAATAATTAACACATTCATTATGAAGCTCTAGAAATGAGTCGGTTTTAATTATTAATATTGACGAAGGAATTAGTTGGTCATCGAATCGTTTAAAAATCATGAAATATTATACCAGTCCCAATAACGGAACATCCTAATCGTACTTCCTAATAGGGAAATAGGAAAAAGGAAATGAATTTCCAAAGGACCGAGGCAACAATGGAAGGGTCCAGGCTGTTGCGATTTCTGGGCATGGGAAAAATCATAGGGAAGGGGGCGAATTTCGAACACCTGGATTTTCCAGAAACGAAAGGGCCACGCGACTGGCCAGCACGCAGATCACGCCTCGAAGTCAAGTGGCTCGTTACCGGATCGTGGGAATCTTTTCGAGGCCTCGATCGGAAATTCGACTCACGGGCCAGCAGGCGGATTCGAGATTCGTCCCACTTGTTATCCACGCGACTGCCACGCTCGCATTACCCTACACCCGTTAGCCTACCTTCCAGAAGTAAACAAATTTCTGTACGTTCAACGTTTACCAAAGGACAATACCCCGAATGATGAATAAAGGTATTCCGTACACCTGGATTCCGCATGGCTGACAGCAAGAAAATAAAATAGATTTTTTCAATTGGGTTGGATATTTGGAAAATACATTAGAAGATCACAATTGCAATTCTTATACGTAGGATAGTGCTCTGCTGTTTTAGCTCCTGCGCCATTTTGCTTCCCTTTTTACATCTTGAAGGTTCAAATTATAAGCAAAGGGTTAATAAATGTATATAAATAGAATTTCTGTAGCATTTATATTTTTGCAGAAAATTATTTTTAAAGTAACCTGTTATTTGGAAGTCTGCAAGGCGGTGTAATCCATGGGTACATTTTGCATTTTATTTTTCTCTCTAACATTTTTGTCATTTTTTCAGGTACCCTGGATGAATGAAGAGAAATAAATGTTGGAATTCAAAATTTGGAGCCATCGTCAGAGTGTTTCATTATGTTCCTTAACAACCGTAAGTCCACTCCATGAACCTTGCAACAACCAGCCAGATCGACTCCCATTCTCAAACCCGACCCAGTCATCATCAGTCCATTACCACGTTGCGGTCAAACGTCTCCAGGCTAGAATCGAGCGATCAGAGAAAAGTCTTCCACGTGTCGGCCACGCTTCGGACCGCTCGTAAATCAGCACCATCAGAGACCAGGTAAGAGCTAGTAGAATCAAGCGATCGTGAAAGAGTTTCTCCAGACGAGGCGACGATTAGAAAAGCACCTATCTTTTTCTGTCTTATTGGTTCTGTTGATTCTCTGTCCTTCTTCTTCGTCATATTTGCATGTAGCGATGGGAATGATCGTAGTTTATCATTTTCAAACAATTGTGTCAGTGATGGGCAGATCGAGTGACCGCTGAATAGTTCATGGGCATCTGGGTTACAAATCTGGGTTGGAAATTGCAAATTTGAAAATTCGGATGCTTGCGAAGTTGGAAATTTAGAAATATAGAAATTCCAAGGTTTTTTAACTTTTCAATTTTCAAATTTGGAATAATGAAGCTTTGGAAATTTAGAATTTAGCAATTAGGAGATTTAGAAATTTAGAAATTTGGAAATTTGGAAATTTGGAAATTTAGAAATTTGGAGAGTTGGAGCTTTGGAAATTTAGAATTTAGAAGCTTGGAGATTTGGAAACATGGAAATTTAGAAATTTAGAAATTTAGAAACTTGGAGATTTGGGGCTTTGGAAATTTAGAATTTATTATAGAAACTTGGAAATTTGGAAATTTGGAACTTTGGAAACTTGGAAACTCGAAAATTTAGAAACTTAGAAATACTGTAGCTTTAGAAATTTATATTTCAAAATTTGAAAGATACAATTATAAAGTGTGTCGAAAATCATTCCCATCGCTATCCGCGTCCATCAGCAAGAGTCTGTCGGCGCGTGTAGCGGGAGGCCGGGGATCATCAGCTCGTGGGAACGAAGCGGCCGTCCGCGCTGAAGCGTTTCAGGAAGCTGACGGTGTTCCGCTCCCGCGGTCACCAGGGCGTCCTTAACTGCTCCGTGTACCTCCGTCCCGACGCCCCGACGCTTCTTCGTCGGCTCGAGTGGCTCGACGACGCCCACGCTCCAATCGGCTTCCTGATCGGCCACCGGGAAAATGGGAGCTTGTCTTGCTCGACAACCTTCTCTCCTACGTGCTCCTAATGTCGTTCGGTTACTTTTATACGCGTCGCACGTTAATTAGTTACTTTCCGCCGTTGATTGCATCGCCTCGCTACAAGCAGATACCAGTTGTTTATATACAGGCTGTCCCATAATATGTGAGTACAATTTAAATGATGAATTTAAAAATTAATTATTAAATTAAGATGATTTCTTCGACTCTAGAGATTAATGAAAATTAATAATTTTTTGAAAAATTTCTGGATTACGAAAATAACATATTTTCTTTTCTTTTTGTTATTTATCGAAAATAGGATTTGTTTAATAATTCATACGAATTAACAAAAAGAAATTGAAAAGAAATTTTCATCCAATTGCAATGCGTACATTCGCGTGCCAGCACGACATATTCGCGTGTCTCAGTCGTGCAACGCGTGCAAAAGGATAAGGAACGAAGCGTGTAAGCCACGCGAGGACAGTGATCTTCTTATAATTACGCGCACGCCGATGAACCTCGCAAAATCATGCAATTAAACGTAATTACCTGCATTATTACGCGGTGCGTCGGAAAATCTGCAAATAAAAGCGCGGCAGGCGTAATCTAGTCTGATAATTGAGAAACACAGCTATATGCAAATTTTCCAACTTTTGAAATCAAAAAATTGCCATCGTACATACCCTTGATTATCTAATTTATCAGAATTAACCCTTAAATGCATGATTTTTTAATTTTGACCGAAAACAATCAATTATATGTATATAAATAGTAAAAAAAATAATTAGTATGTAGGTTTTAATTTAAAAGTAAAAAACCAGTGCAATACCAACGTATTTTAGTAAAAAACTGCTTATCAGCATAACAGTTACTCACCTATAAAATATCTTTTTAGCAAGAATAAATCTCCAAAATATTTAATTTTATTGTCACTCCTAACTTTCACGAACTTTTTTGGACGCGCCAAAACAATTCGTCAATCTAAATATCATATTGAAAAGCGCGCGGATTTACTGTTTTTTTTTTGTTTTTTTTTTTTTTTTCATACTTCGTTTGAATGGACCAAGGTAATATGGCATACAGGTAAAAGTAAAACTTTCACTACGGTTAATACTTTAATTAGGAGTTAAAGACAGTGTTTCGTTTTTGAGACACTATGCATTTAAATGTTAAAATTTCGAGAATTCCTCCTCCCCTTGTATCGCGAAGTACGCAAACAAAATTTTTCGAAAAGTATCTTCACGAAACGAGTCTCGCGAATAAGTTACGAGCTCGAATGTGTACCGGATGCGCGCGAGGGTATCGCAGAAGTTGATGTATGATCCTTTAGCAACGTGCACCTGCCCGTTCGTGGTCGGTACTTTGACGGAAATCATGGATCTCCTCGGGACGGTCAAGGATCTCGGTAGCATTACTCCCCAGCGACCACGAACGATAAACCGAAGCTGAAATTTATTTTCTGACCGACGGCTAACGTACACGATCGCCATAGATCTCTGTTAAGAAGCGTAACGATCAAAAGGTGAAAGTCGCGAAATTGACCGTGGTAATCATTGAAATTACCCCGCTTTCTTCCCCTCCATCCAGGCTGATTCGTTCAATAAATTAGTGGTTTCTGATTCGGATAATCGTTCCTTTCCACTGCCAAATAGGATCATTGATGCCTGCCAGAGAGACGCGTCGCGATTGTGTTCGGTTAATTGGAGCGGATTAATTAACAAGTCTGGTGAAAACGAGCTGATCAATTTTCTCAGCCTCTGTACATATCGCCGTATAAGTACATTCATGGTAATTAATAATAAATCCATATATGGTGTGATTTTTCGAAGAGACCACCTGTAACCGACTTTCCGTTTCGAAATTCCCACGATATGGTAACACGTGGACTCGTACGTTCATTAATATTTATGAAACAACAATGAGATTCGATTTGGCTTATATCCTGGTTAATTCGCTCCCTTTTTTCCCTTCTGCTTTCGTGCGTACGCGCGCGTTTCATTCATGAATCGGTCGTACAAAGTGGCCGACCCTCCCTCTGCCAATTCGTTCGCTACCACCCTTAGTGATTCACGATAATTTTATTCTTATGAATGGACGAGAGACGGGTAAACAGGAAGAGGTGTACGCGGAAGGGAATATATTTTAAATAAATGTCGGTTCGCATGATTGCGATAACCCTGTGTTACTGATTGACGCAGTTTGATAGCTCCTCTTTTCATGAACACTGGCAGGTGTAATTAGGGTTGGACAGGTTCATTTTTTTTAATTTTATCATTTAGGTCATTTGTTTCTTTTCTTATTTTTTTTATTTTTTTGCTGAGAAATACTGTCAGGTTTCAGGTCATTTTAAACTGAATTTATTTTTGCGAATGAATTATCTTTTAAATGGAAAAATTTGTAATATAAATACTTGTACAGTTTCTTTGAATTTAAAATTAATTTTTATTAAACAAGAAATTGAATATAATTAAGGTATTATCTTTATCGATATAATAAAGAAAGAAATATGTACAAACGAGACGTTAACAAGACCCACTCAATAATTAACGTCTTCTTGCTGAATACAACATCTTCATTAATACAATCAAGGTTGTACGATGAGAACGTTAACGAGATCCTTTAATCATTATCTCGAAAGGGAACAAGATACTAAACCAGAAAATATAAACAACAGATACGGGTTTCGGTTTAATGAGACTTTACACGATATTTTCTCTTTGCATACTGGCGGTGGCAATTTCGATTTACAATAATTCTTGTTTCAATGACGTGTTTGAAGGACCCAAGCCGGTATCACTGACAAACGGCGAATAAGAGCACGAAATTCTCCTTCATTCATTGGTACACGGATGAAAAGGAATACGGCATTCAATTGCACGCCTTCGTCCGTGACCAGGTCGTCCTTTTCGCGACTTGCCGGACCGGAAATTGAAATTTCGCGTGAGAATATGCACTCCTTTGATGCCTGGCTTGCAATTTCGAACAACTGTTCACGGAAGCGTTTTCAATACTTAAATCCTTGAATTTACAATCGTTCACGCCATTCAAGGATAAAACATTTATTTACCAACTGATGTTTCCTTATTGGGATAAAATTGTCCAAATGTTAAGTTGAATTTATACCTAGAATTTGGTTCCAAACAGAACAGAGTTGAATAGTATAAGAAAATTTATTTGTCGATGAGTGCAACGATGCACTTGAGAAATGCATATGCACTTTTTCTTCCATGCATCCAAGAAATGCATTACGCTCTTATTTTTAATAAAATTGCATTTATTCTGTAGAATTTGATTAGAAATAGAGAGAAGTTAAACGATATAAGAAGATTCATCTTTTCTATAAGTGCAATGATGCACTTAAGAAATGCATATTATGCACTTTTTCTTTTAATAGAACTGCATCTGCCTTTTGGGGAAATGAGGATTGTAATTGATCATATATAAAATTTAATTAAATATAAAACGAAGTTTAATGGCACAAGATGCATTTTTCTAAGTGCAGTGATGCACCTAATGCACCAAAGTGCATATGCACTTTTTTGTTAAATGGAGCTCCATGGAAAAGTATTAGTAAAATCTGTAGCAAAATTATCTGCCGATATTATTATTTATTATCTTCCATAATATGTTATATAAATTTTAACAAGCTACCAAGAAATTTCTATATAAATCTCCAAGATCCATTTAAAAGTCATCGCCAAACATCAAATAATTAATTAAAACTGAATACGCAGCATTTATTCTCTCTTATACCACTGTGGAACGAATCTGTCCAAAGAAACAGGCAGATGTGATGCAGTTCCCGTTACAGTTGCTCGGTGATCGATTGTGAACCGTAAAGGAGAAGCGTTTAAAAACGAGCTACATTACAGAAAACGCTTTTCACCATGTAAACCGACCGACATAATTGCCACTTTTCGATTCAGCCACTTATCTACGAAACGAAACCGACCAATTAAGCCATAACATATTGGCAGACTACAACCTTAACACGAACACACGAAAATGTTCTCACTCTGACGGTTCGTTAAAAAAATAAAAAAAGAAGAAAACGTTATGGTAGCTTTCCCCCGCGTATCTCCATTTCACCACGTCTTACGTGACACCTTTTATACATTTATGCATGCATTTACACCTTCAGTTTATTACACGTACGGTGTCCGGTAAATGACAGGGGTGACCATGAATATCAAGAATTTTCACACGTATCGATGTTATTTTAAGAAAATTATTAAAATTAACATTTAATGACAGGTTTTGGGAAAGTTGAAAATTCAATTTTAACATGATACATTTTACGGGTAGCGTTGTAAAGTTACTCTTTAATTTATCGAAAAATATAAGAAATTCTGTTGAAAAGAATTCTTTTCGATCCCCCTGAAAATCAAGTCACCGCACGAAGCGGAGAAGGTTGAGAGTGACCGGTAAATCGCAGCAGAGGAAGACGCGTGCTTGCCACGGTACGCACGCGCTTCCTTACACGCGAGCGGATCGCGCGTCCCAAAAGAAAAGAGGAAGAATCGGTTCACAGTCGGCTGAAGAAGCAACGAGTGCGACGGATAGGGTAGCGGAGGGGCAGGGGGGGCCCTATCGGAGGCTACCGTGAGAACGAGGCAAGGCCTTATGTCCCAGACGGACCCCTCAACCGGCACGAGGTCCGACGAGGATCGCCGCGCTTGCGAGACGCGGCGAAGAGGAAAGGGGAACAGAGAACGACAGGTCGGGCCCCGGCCACAGGGCAGCCATTCGGGGCCCGTGCTCACGACAGAGACGACGATAGGCGCGAGCCTCACACGCGACTAGCACACGTCCAGGCCCTGAGCCGAGCCGCGATCGCAAACCGCGCTTCTTTTTTTTTTCCTTTTCTTTTCTTTTCTTCACTGAACTAGCTTGCTCTCTCTCTCTCTTCTCCTACCAGTCTCCGCCGCAAAGGAATGATTGATGCCTCTTCTTTGGACCTTCCTCCTGAGACCCTGGAAATTAATTGCTACTGGCTATGGTGTCGCGAAGACGCTTCATTCCGCTCGCGAAGGCATTCTTTTCCAGTATTTCAATTCAGGTTTCTTACAGTTTTTGAGGGAATTGAAAGATGGAAATTATTGTTTATGGCATTTCGC